ATTGTGTTACACTCTTTACAGGATTAAGATTGAATCACTGATATTAAAATCCACTTGAGGCATAATGCTGAATACAGAAAATTCTTCCGGTTTTTTTAATCCAATTTATAAACGCCTCTCTATAAATAAAGCTAGGGTAGCTGATAGCAAATACTTTTGTATTGATCAAATTCTTTCCCATATACACAATTCACTTCCTTCACTGCCATTTGAGATCTCAACATCTGAAGCATTCTTAACTCTTTGAGGAAGATATGGCGTAATCTAGAACTCAAGCCTTTGGTTTAACTACTGACATTCTTTTTTCTGCGTACTTCATCCACAATCAATGCGAAAGTCAATTACTCAAAACGTTGGAGAACTTGCAATCCTTCAAATCCACTGCTTTATTCCAGTTTTGCTGGAATACTCTGGAATGAGTGAACAAGGCTGCTTCATAAGCTGTTTATGAGGATGATCATAAGTGATCGTCGGTGGGCTGTGGGCATATGCCGAATAAGGCCGACTTTGAGCTGGCGAAAAAGTCTACGCAGCCAATAAACAGCAGGGGTGCATAATCGCATCTAACACCTATTCGCTCGACTCAGATCAAATTCCGCATACAGCTTCAATCCTCCCTGTTGTTCATGGAAAAGTCGTTAAGAGCGATCTGCTTTATATAATAGGCATCGTTGACAACAACTGTTCGCTTTTTCTTTAAAATTTCACTCATTCACTTGTGCTGCGCATTTTCTTGTAAGAACGTTGCTGTTTTTGCGATTTTTCGCTGATGTTCTGAACTGCGCTGGCGATCTTCATTAAAATTCCATAGGCGCCGTAATGATACAAGCGCGACTGAGGAACCCCGACCAGGTTCGATTTCGCTTCGCGTTCACTCGTGAGAAGCTCTCAGCCACAGTACTCTTATATTATGAGTGATACTTATCGTAAGCAATGCTATCTAATTTCAGTTCTCCAACTTGATTGATAGAGCAAGGAGCAGTTAAATTAGAAATTCTTTTTTCAGAACTCCGATTATGACTAAGTAACAAAAAAATTTTTACTTCATACAACTTTGATGTCACCACCAGCCTGTTCTATAAGTCACATTGTTGTTAGTCATTATGCTTCTACTCTTTACTGACTTCACCTCTGGAAAGCTCTATCTCTCACCCAGATACGATTGCAGGCATATCTTATATACAAGTGCGAATAATTTGACTTTGGACGCTAATGATGATGTCAAAAATCAAATCTATTGCACATTTGTGAAATTTCTTAAGCTTATTTGCATTGGATACATTTCACAACAGGATTTTTTTTTACACAGCAAGAAATTCACCTTGTCAAACCACTCACTGAACCTATGGCGAAGCCTAATTACCACAATTCTGTAAATCTCAAGCAAACTTTTTTGGTTGGAATGTTTTGCTCAGGTTGTTCAAATCCTTACGTGCTCTTATTGGCTTCACTTTTCTAAAGACTATTCGTCCGTTTCGTCCCGAGCTAGCTTTCCGAGCTAGCTGCTTTTTACCGGTTGTCGCACGCAATTTCAATGAATGCGAGGTTGTTCTCCAACCTCTCTGTCGCTTCAAAAACAAGCGTCAAAACATCGCGGCTAAATTCTTATTCCTACAAATTTGACGCCGTCTTTTCAAAGCGTGCGCTAACCGCTATGACTGGATACAATGAGTACATGAAATGCAACTCCGATTCATTTGTATAATTATGGCTAACTTCTGCTAATGATCAAGAAAATTACCTCGATTTGAGCTATCATAGCCTTCGTTTAAACAATATCTGACGCAGCAGAGGGAGTGCGCAAAGGCGAGAGACTTATGTAGACCCGTTCCTGGGTGTTAGCCCCGTACATGTCTGGTTTATATCGCGAGTCATTACTATTAGCGCGACATCGAGCTAGCTCATGCTTCACGCAAGTCAACTTGTGCTTACTTATTACGGTGTTCTGCTTGCAATGAATACTTTTTGTTTTCATTATAAACTACAAAGTTTTGTTTTATTATACACCACACAATGTATGTCTCTTTCAAAAGATCAGAATGGAGATCCCAAAACTG